TATCGGTGGGGGTAGATACTTTATACTTCCTGTGATCAAACGGTCCAACGCCAAGCATACGAGAGGACCACAATCCCCTCTGGGTCCTTTCGTTTGTTGTGGTGCGGTCTCGTCTCTGCTAACTGTAATATTGAGCTTCTTTGGCTTCTTGTTTCCAGAACGAGTCCAATAATTTATCACATCCAAGTATTTAGCCAAATAAGAGCTCCATCCCTTAATAATATCTCTTAAATCAGCCAATGATATGTAATTTATCATGCTGTCATATACTATTGCCTTAAGGGATGGGATCTGAAGCTCGACGAGAAGCCAATGGTTACGTTCCAAAACAGGGATAAACACCTGAAATCATAAGTAATAATTCATTCATTTGCGCACTTATTTATGAATACCTTTAAACTCAATCTAAAATAAACACTAACCTTATCGACCTCCCACCATGCAGGATAAAGTTTAGCTTGTCCATTGCCCAACGCAAATGATTCATTTCGTTGATTCTTCAAGTGAACTGCGTTAAAAGCCGTCGGCATTATTGTATACCGTGTATTTCTTTTATTTTCCTTAAGTTTCCTAATTATTAGTAGACGTGACACCCACGCATCGATATGCTGTTTTACAAAAAAATACATATATTAGTGAATTACATTAATTTTTAAACAAATTAATCAAATGAAAATATAAGAAAAATATAAGACTTACCCCTCCATCGAAATAGCCATTGTCTTCGACCCCTAATAATACGCCCCACCCAGACCGATCAAGCAACAAATAGATATCATCATTGAGCTTGCATATGTCAGTGAAACACCCCTGGCTTCGCTCATGTAGATAAAAATCAACTGCGGTCTTAGCCCAAAGGGTGTTATCCAGAATTGTGTCCGGTAGTTGTTTCCTCTCCTCTTCAGATACCGGTATGGTACTGGCCGGTAACTCATACGAGAGCCAACTTGAATCCATCATGTCCGACACGTCAGAGGGTTTCTCAAGAATCCTACATATGACACCATGTGAATCGGGCTCTTGAATGGTGGGAGGGACCTCTTCAACGATGACAGTGGCCTCTTGAACGGTGGGAGGAGACTCTCGAGGAATGATAGGGGCCTCTTCAACGATAGGAGTGGACTCTTGAGGGATGATACGCGAGTCGGGCTTCTTCTTGCGGTGTCTTCGCACTATTGGGGTATACGGAGACTTAATAGCACGTGCACGCCGTCTGATGCGTGAACTCTGTCGTGCAAGAAAAACCCGACGTAAAGCATCCACCTTATCGGTCTGCTAAATAAAAATACAAATATCAGTAAATAAACAGACATGATATTTAAACAGTGAAAACAAAGATAAATATATTTCAAACTTTCAACCAAAAGACAAAACAAAGACAAATACTAACTTCACAGTGTTAAAGTAAAAAGTTTAGCAGTTTTGGCAGCAACCGAATAAATTTACTAAGCAATCTAAGTGAAATGGTTAATTTAAGTGAAATTACGAGTAAATTTATCATCAAGTTAAATATGGAAAATCTTAAACTTACCTCGTTGCGTAGAGTATGAACCTCATTCTGCAACGATACTACCATCTCACGTAGAGCGGCAACCTCACCACGTAAAGTAGACACCTCCACACGCCATGCACCATCGTTATCGCGTAGAGTACCGATCTCCTCACGCAAGGCATTGACCTCATCACATAACTCCCTTGACTCATCCCGTGGAGGTGGAGAACAGGGAGATAGAAGTCGTGGCATCTTTGTCGGTCGCCTATCATGAGGTGATGGTGGAGAAGAGACTCGATGATGTGACGGGATAGGTGATGGCTCTCGTTGTAGAGGTGTATAGTCGGGTCGATCAGGTGATGGCTCTGGGTGAGGTGATGGCTCTCGAAGTGGAGGAAGTGGAGGCTGCTCATCATTCGTGCCATCAAAAAAACGCTGACTAGCTTGCCACCAATCAGTGGCAAGCTCAGCCTCCGTGGGTGTCAGTCTCATTAATGGAGTGTTGGCCTCCTAAAAATATAAAAACTAAAACAAAGTTAAACGTCTACTATTAATAACTTGTTTATATATGATAGTATTTGTGTTAACTTACATTATTTATTGTCGCATATGGTATTAAGTCTTCCCAATCCAACATACGTTTCCTCTTTCAGGAAATAGCCCTAGGAATATCATCTGAGGATTTTAATGCATATGTCCGCATGCTGGGGAAAGCCTCGAATATCCAAATCTACAAACAATATAATAACAAATATTAGTAATTGTTAAATAATTAATTATAATTTTGAAAACATTATATAGAAATTCTTACCTTAAAGGCCCAAACAAAGCCTGACAAAGTGTATTTCGACCCATCGCCCCGCAAACTTTTGCGGTCATCAAAGGCAGACGACAACTTAGTCCAGGTAGCTTTCCATATATACGAACCCCACGGAAACAGATTCCATGCATTTAGGTCTTCTACCAATAATATTAGCTCCTGAGGAATAGGTTGTCTGGCCTCTCTGCCTAGAAAGCCGGCATACAAAAGTAGTAGAAGGCATACTCGGACAACATCGACGTCATTCATCCGAGTAAAACCATCTTTCTTATTAAACAATTTCTTCATGTCGTCGACGTGTAAGTTCGGCTTCTCTATTGACTCATCAGGAAAATCCCTGGATAACCATGATGGGCGGGTGATATGACGAGTGTACCGGCCTACATCATCGTGTCCGAATCGTAGACCAGTGATTAAGCAGAACTCCTTCCGCCCAAAACAAGTATACGCCGGTGGAAAATGAAACCATATCTCTTCCTCACCACGTTGTATACTGTCTGGTAGATCGCTAGTCATGGTCTGAAGCCACAAATGGGTCAAACTAGCATCTCCACCCGGATGCTGTACTCTCAGCCATTTCCCGAAGCAGGCTTCTTCAAACAATTTTCTTTGTGCAGGTGAAAGCTTCGAAGCAATTGTAGTGACTAGGCTAACTTTATTCCTTAATGTCAATGAAGCCGAAAAAAATTTCTACAAAAAAACAATAAACATACCAAGTTAGATATACCAAAAATTACACTGTCAAGATATACCAAAACAAAACAATAAACATAAATAGTAGTTTATTCTTGAAACTAAAATTTGCAACATTGTTTTTGTCTTTTGGTTGAAATGAAAATCGCAACGAGATAATGAGAATCGCAACGCGGAAATGACTATCGCAACGAGAGAATCGCAACGCGAAATGACTATCGCGACCAGACAATCGCAACGCGAAATGAAAATCGCAACCGCGAATAAAAATCGCAACGCGAAATGAAAATCGCAACGCGAATGAAAATCGCAATGCGATTTTGGTTTCGCGTTGCGATTATCTCGTTGCGATAGTTATTTCCGCGTTGCGATTTTCATTCTCGAAACTATTCTTCTTCTGCATTACTTCAACCAAAAGACAAAGCAAAGACAAATACTAACTTCACAGGCTAAACAGTTTAGCAGTATTGGCAGCAATCGAATGAATTTAATAAGAAATCTAAGTGAAATGGTTAATCTATTATTGAAATTACCAGTAAACTTATCATCAATCTCAATATGAAAAACCTAAAATAATGCAAAAATTTCAAAATAAAAATAAAAAAACTAACCCTCGGAGGTTGATTTTCCATTTCTGAATGATTGTGAGGGATTTTTGACTGTGAATGGTTGTGAGGAATTTCGCCGGCGATGGGGACGGAAATCTTCGGAGATGGGGACGGATTTCGCCGTAGAGAGTGAGAGATGGAGATGAGACTGAGTGTTGTGTTTTTGGGTTTGAGGTTATGAGTTGCGATTACTGTGGACGGTTCATTTTCCGATTTATTAAGAAAAAATACGTGTTTGGAATTTGAAAAAAAAATACGCGTTAATACGAATGGCGCTATGTAAATCGCGTTGCGAAAGTCAGTATCGCGTTGCGAAAGTAAGTATCTCGTTGCGATTTTTTATTATCGCATTGCGATAGTAAGTATCGCATTGCGATTTTCCCAATTCGCGTTGCGATTTACTTATTCGCATTGCGATTTTCCCAATTCGCGTTGCGATTTACTTATTCGCATTGCGAATTGGGAAATCGCAACGATACTGTAGACCATCGCAACACGATTTTCAACTATCGCATTGCGAAAATGCAACGCGAATTTGCGATAATGGAGATCGCGTTGCGAATTAGCGATCGCATTGCGATTTTGTTGGTCATTTTGGCAAATCCGGAAAAAGTTGGTTAAAATCGTATATTATATGGGATTTTTGGTCACTGAGGTTATTTTCTCTAAAATAAAAACAGAAGTTGGTTTGATGCCACCGTCGGCCATTGTCAATCGTCGTAGATTGTTACCATTCGATCCCAAATTTCATGAGTCACTTCACCGCGACACCTTGAGTCTGAATCCGACCTCCATTTTATAGGAACTTGCTTCAAATTCCACGAATTAAATATTAAAAGTGAGGAAGCTAAAACATTTCAGTTGATATTCACATATTTTTGAGATATTTTTTTGTGAAACAATCACCAGATTCTGACTCAGGAAATCGAGACGAATCGACCCATGAATTTTGAGATCGAAAGGTCACCGATTGACGGTATGGGAAATAAAGGATTCAAAGAGACGTTGTTTTGGATTTGAGTTCTTCAAAATGACGTCGTTTTTATGCTTGTGTCATTTCATGACACCGTTAAAAAGTTAACACATAGTGAACAAAATGATTCATTCTGTAAATTTTAGTGATCAAATTAGAAAAATTAAAAGTACGGTGAGTAAAATAAGAGAGATAATGAAGTTTAGTGAGGAATGTAATTTACGCAATAAAATATATAAAAACTAGACAAGCGTTCTTGGATAGATTAACCTTAAAAAATGGATCATAACAAAAGTTATCGATCCACAAAAATAAGATTAAATATAGATATTCAAATGAAATTTGATTTAAAAAGAAAAACAAATTACCGCGGAGCAAACTGTTTATTCGTTTTCTTTGAAATGAAAGTTTGATTCCCTCCATGAAATGAAGCGACTGAGAAAGAAGTCGGTGGAGTTTCTCATTCGATCTTCTCATGTAAGTAATCCAAACATAATTTAATAAACAAAAAGAAAGTTCAGTTTACTTCCAAAATTTAATTTTTCTGTTGTAATTTGAAAGCTGCTCCGAGCTCCACTGATTGTGAAATACACAGCTTTATTTCTCTTCGCGGATCGTTTTCTCCCATCTCTCACCACGTAAATCTGCTTTTTCTCCCATTATAATTCCATGAATCTCTTTGAATATTAAGCTTTAATGTAGATGAAGTTTCGTTTGATTCTTTTTACAGTTTAATAAATCAGAGGAACCAGATCGGAAGCTGGCTTTTACGATCCGTTGAAGAAAGCAATCTGCAGTTATTTGCACTCATTTCAATATGGATTTCAAGTAAAGTTGAGTTTTCAGATTTCAAGCTTATCTTTCTTTTCTTTTCTTTTCTTTTCTTTTCTTTTCTATTCCCCTCCTCTCAGAAGTTTTGTTTTTCGTTTGTTATTGTAGAAACACGATCGTGCTCTTTCTGTAAAAATTTTAAAATCGTTGGGAGACGAATTCATTAAGGATCAGCATTTTACTACTAGAGATTTCGTGGAAGCTGTAAGTTATTTACTTTCGCGGTTAATTTTACGTTTCCCCCCTCAATACTACGTTTGATATATGCAGTTTTCATTTGATGATCAAACTCTTTATATTATAACCAAAATTCAAAATAAACTTACTATTGCAAACTTTGAATTATATCTAGTGAAATTTGTATTGATTTAATACGATGACATATTTGTGAAACTACTTTATTTTACGGAGTTTTAGTACTTCATTTAATCATATGACATGATGATTGATGACTACATTGCTGAGAAATCAATATTAGCCCACACCCAACTTAATTTGATGTCATTGCTTACATCAATTAAGTTAGGTGAAGATGTCATTGCTTATCTCATATTAATGGAGTAGGTGGAGTAGGTGATAATAATGTATGGTTAGAAATATTTCTCAATTTAATATTTGTATGGTGTAGGTTGCATGGTGAGGACTATAAATACCACCTTGCATTTGAGTTATGTATCCATAAAAAAAAATTGAGTGTAGTGTCTTGAGTATAAGTTGTGAGTTTTCTATTGAGTGTTTATTTCTCTTCAAATTATGAGTGGTCTTTTGAAAGTGTTGTAGTGACTTTTATTGTGGGTATAATACAAGTAATTTGTTTACTTGTTTGCCTATAATATTAGTAAGGTTAGAGTTGTATACTCTCAACAATTGACATCAGAGCTACATTATAAGGTCTCTTGAAATTCCGAGTATGCTTTGTGGCTGTAGTTTTTAACTGATCTTCCACATCAAAAAATATTTCTTGAGATTATTGTCGGGGTTATTACAAACCTTGTGGAGCTTCTTTGTGTTTAGAGTAATTTAGTACTCGGCACGTTTGTTACTCAAACTTGTTCGGTGTAGTCAAAGGGTTGCTGTTACGATGGGTGACCTTCAAGTAGTTGGAGGAATCAAGAAGCTCAACAACAAAAACTACAATGCGTGAGAAACATGTATGGAGTCATACTTACAAGGTCAGGACCTTTGGAAGGTTGTCGGTGGTGATGAAGTTACACAACCGGCGACAGAAGATGCCAATGGCATCTTGCGAAAGTGAAAAATTAAAGCAGACAAAACGATGTTTGCTTTAAAGACCATAATTGAAGAAGAAATGTTAGAGCACATTCAGGATGCTAAAACACCAAAGGAAGCATGGGACACTTTTGTTACACTCTTTTCAAAGAAGAATGATACAAGATTGCAACTTCTCGAGAATGAGTTACTATCGATGGCGCAACGCGACATGACGATTGCTCAATACTTTTGCAAGATAAAGTCGATGTGCCGTGAGATTTCGGAGTTAGAAACGACAACTCCTATTGGGGAAACCAGGATAAAGAGAATAATTATCCATAGTTTGAGACCCGAATATCGAGAGTTTGTTATCGCTGTACAGGGATGACCAACACAACCATTGCTTGTTGAGTTCGAAAATTTGCTTGCAGGTCAAGAAGCCATGGCCAAGCAAATAGGAGAAGTCTTGCTGAAGGGTGAAGAGGAAGCGCTCTACACTAGCAAAAGTAGAGGCATTTTCAAGCTGTATACTGGCAGTGGATCTAAAAAGAATGGTGACAAGGTGAAAAGTTACCAAGGAAAGGGAGACTCTTATTTAGGGAGAGCTTCCAAGAATCGCAGTAATAGTAGAAAGTTTGATGGAAAGTGTTACAATTGCGGGAAGATAGGCCACATGGCAAAAGACTCTTGGACCAAGAAAAAACCTGTTGAAAGTAATACTGCTACTTCCAGCTCGAAGGAGAATAGTGAAAATGATTGGGATGCTGAAGCGTTATTCGCTATGGAGGAAGAAGAATTAGCTCTCATTGTAACAACACCAGAACGAATTGACTACGATAATGATTGGATCGTAGATTCGGGCTACTCAAATCATATAACGGGTGACAAACAGAAGTTGCAAAATCTGTCTGAGTACAAGGGAGTTCGTGTGGTGGTGAAAACTGACAACTCAAGACTACCGATAACTCACATCGATAAGACGATAGTTACACCTTAATATAATTCTAACTAGGTACAACTTCAAGATGTTTACCATGTCCCAGGAATGAAGAAAAATTTGCTACATGTGGCCGAATTGACATCATCAGGTCATTATGTCTTATTTCGTCCCCAAGACGTGAAGGTTTATCGTGACCTCAAAATCTCAGAAACACCGATAATGGAGGGGCGACGTTTGGAGTCAATCTACGTGATGTCAACAGAGTCTGCTTATGTAGAAAAAAAATGAAAAAATAAGGCATCAGATCTGTGACACATGCGGTTAGGTCACATTAGCTATTCCAAGCCAAGTGTGATGGTGAAGAAGTCGATGCTTAAAGGGCTTCCTCAACTAGACGTGAGAACATACACGGTCTGTGCGGGATGCCCGTATGGTAAAGCACACCAATTACCATATGACGAGTCAATGTTTAAAGTAAAAGAACCGTTAGAGTTGGTTCACTCTGATGTGTTCGGACCGATTAAGCAACAATCAATTAGCGGTATGCGGTACATGCTAACATTCATTGATGACTTCTCCATGTATGTATGGGTTTTCTTTATGAAAGAAAAATATGACACATTCTTAAAATTTAAAGAGTTCAGAGAGTTAGCTGAATGAGAAGTGGGAAAGAAGATATGTTTCTTGCGCACAGACAACGGAGGAGAATATAACTCAAACGAGTTCTCTCAATAACTAAGGGAATGTCGAATACGTCATCAGTACACTTTTGCCAACGCGCCACAACAGAATGGTGTAGCGGAAAGAAAAAATCGGCATCTTGCAAAAATTTGTCGAAGTATGCTATATGCATAGAACGTACCTGGAAGGTTTTGGGCTGAAGCAATGAGGACTACAACCTTTGTGATCAACATACTTCCTCACTAAGGTTAGAATTTGTTTCACCCTTTGAGAAACTATGGAATATGAAACCTACAGTTAGCTACTTTCGAGTATTTGGCTTGTGTTTGTTCCTCATCATTTACGGAGTAAGTTTGACAAGAAATCTGTTAGATGTATCTTTGTGGGATACGACAGCCAGAGAAGGGGGTGGAAATGTTGTGATCCAATGAGTGGAAGATGCTACATGTCACGAAATGTGGTATTTGATGAAGCATCTTCTTGGTGGTCCTCAGAGAAGGAGGTGTTGCCAGATTCGAGAGAATTTGGAGACAAACTGCAACAAAAGATAAGGAAGCATACTGTTCAACTCCAAACAAGTTCAGATGAATCAAGAGATCCAAATGGCGATGATGTCGAACAAAGAGTAACTCAAAATCCTTGGCAAACCTGCGTATATCAACAACCAAACGAAGAAGGTGGGTCTAGTGAAACAGAAGAATCAATTTCAATATCTCAACTCTGAAGGTCAACAAGAATACGAAGGCCAAATCCCAAATATGCCAATGCAGCCATAATTGAAGAAGCAACAGAGCCTGAGACATTCGAAGAAGCATCGTAGAGTTCTAAGTGATGATAACTATGAAAGAAGAGATCGACGCACTTCAGCAAAATCAAACTTGGGATCTTGTGCCAAGGACAAAAGATGTGAAACCCATATCTTGCAAATGGGTTTATAAGATAAAGCGCCATCCAGATGGGTCAATCGAGAAGTACAAGGCATAATTGGTAGCTCGTGGTTTCTCTCAACAGTATGGACTAGACTATGATGAAACATTTAGTCCAGTGGCAAAGCTTACAACCGTATGAGTCCTACTTGCACTTGCAGCCAACAAAGACTGAAATTTGTGGCAGATGGATGTGAAGAATGCTTTTCTTCATGGAGAGCTAGATCGAGAGATCTACATGACCCAAGCAATGGGTTTTCAGAGCCAAGATCATCCTGAACATTTGTGTAAGCTGCGAAAAACACTCTACGGATTGAAACAAACACATAAGGCGTGGTATGGTAAGATTGCTGAATTTCTAACGAAAAGTGGCTATTCAGTAACACCTGCAGATTCTAGCTTGTTTGCCAAAGCCAATGAAGGTAAACTAGCTATCGTGCTAGTGTATGTGGATGACTTAATCATAACCGATGATGATGAGGCAGAAATTCTTCAAATGAAGGAGAATTTATCAGTTCATTTCCAGATGAAGGAACTTGAACAACTTAAGCACTTCCTTGGTCTAGAGGTTGACCGCACACACGAAGGAATATTTCTGTGTCAACAGAAATATACCAAAGATTTATTGAAGTGGTTTGGAATGCTCGAATGCAAGTCGATTTCAACGCCAATGGAACCAAATGCCAAAATGTGTGCACATAAAGGAAAAGATTTAGAAGATGCGCAATGTGTATAGACAATTGGTAGGAAGTCTGATCTACTTAACCTTGACTCGATCTGCCATTTGTTATGCAGTTGGTGTGATGAGTCGATACATGCAAAATCCGAAGAAGTCTTATTTAGAAGCAATTCGACGAGTTCTCAGATATGTGAAGAGTACAATAGACTATGGTCTTCTATACAAGAAAGGTGGAAATTGCAAACTAGTTGGCTATTGTGATGCTGACTATGTAGGAGATCACGATACTCGCAGATCAACTACTGGGTATATGTTTACCCTTGGATCTGGAACGATCTCTTGGTATAGCAAGAGACAACCAACTGTGTCCTTATCAACTACGGAAGCATAGAGCAACAACAATGGCAGTTCAAGGAAGCACGTGGTTGATACAACTAATGAATGATCTACATCAACCAGTAGATTATGCAGTTCTGTTGTACTGTGACAACCAATCGGCAATTCGGCTAGCGGAGAATCATGTTTTTCATGCAAGAACTAAACATGTGGAAGTGCATTATCACTTTGTTAGGGAAAAAGTTCTGCAAGAAGAGATTGAGATGAGGCAAGTCAAGAAAAATGAGTAAATTGCAGACTTGTTTACAAAAAGCTTGAGCATTGAAAAGTTTGAACATTTCTGTCGTCAGCTTGGCGTGATTCAAAGAATGGGGGCTAACATTGAGGGGGAGTGTTGAGAAATCAATATTAGCCCACACCCAACTTAATTTGATGTCATTGCTTACATCAATTAAGTTAGGTGAAGATGTCATTGCTTATCTCATATTAATGAAGTAGGTGGAGTAGGTGATAATAATGTATGGCTAGGCATATTTCTCAATTTAATATTTGTATGGTGTAGGTTGCATGGTGAGGACTATAAATTCCCCCTTGCATTTGAGTTATATATCCATAAAAAAAAATTGAGTGTAGTGTCTTGAGTATAAGTTGTGAGCTTTCTATTGAGTGTTTATTTCTCTTCAAATTGTGTGTGGTCATTGAAAGTGTTGTAGTGACTTTTATTGTGGGTATAATACAAGTAATTTGTTTACTTGTTTGGGTCCAATATTAATAAGGTTAGAGTAGTATACTCTAAATTTTTCTCAACATACATTTTGCAGGAGGTGGTCTTCCTTAAGGTAAATCTCATGGCTTTAATATAAGGTTCTTTGGTCCGATCAAACTCCTTAAGAATAACATGGTCTTTTCCCTTCATGTCAAGGTCTTGAATTTTGAAATTGGGACATCAAATGTGGCTTTCATATTCCTTGAAGAGCTTTTTATTCAGTTCAAGTAATATCCAATCCATTTGAATCGAATCATTTGAAAAGTTTTATCATCTTAGTATCATTTTTTTGGCTTTTGCTTACAGGGGAGTGGCAAAGGTTGGGGAATTGGTGAGCTTTGAAGCATGTATGGATGTGATGGATCTTCTTTATGAAAACGAGGAGACATCACTTCTTTTTAGTTCTCCGTGTTCTCTGGCTGCTGCAATCTTGGCATGTTTTCGTTTTAGTAAAATAGCTCCAATAAAGTCTTTTATTCTTAAATTATGTGATTCTAAAAATGCTAAATTTTATGTAACTCAACTCTTCATTTTCTTTTAAGAACTCATATATGACCATATATGCAGACATTAGAATAGGACAATTTCATTTAAGGAAAAACTTGAGGGAAGAAATTGACTGCCTTGGACACATGCTCATGTCTGACATTCGAACAAATTTGATTAAAATATATTAGAACTTTAGATTTATGCCGTTGTTTTTTGGCCTTTTGTAGGTTACTTCATATGTGGTTACAGTGCCAAAACAACAGTGGGAGTTTCCTGTTCTTCCTTGGGGTAAATTTTTAGTTTTCTCCTGTGCACTGCATAAATCATTTCTTCTCAATCCCCGTGCATTAAATCATTCAGTTTATCCAAATGTTACTGATGCCTTTTGAACTGGGTATTCTTGGGGTGGAGGGGGATTTGATAGTGGATCCTTGCCTTAAATATATCTAGGTTCAAATGTGAAACACCACATACCATCAAGTGGAAAGGCGATTGGTCGAGCATTAAATTTCCTGTTCTTTCTTTCTTTTCTTTTCGTTTTTTTTAATTCTAAAGAAAGAACTACTTTAAACTCCTAAACTAAGCTAGTCAGTTTCCTGCATATTCCTTTGAGTCTGTCGCTCTCCATACAACAAATTGCTCCCCCCAGCTGGTTGGTCATTCACCATACCAATCTCTTCACTCACCATTTGTCCGTCTTTCTTCATCAAATCGCGCACTGCTACTGGAGGTTCATGGAATGAGTGCCGAAAGGTGCCCCCATGCCACCTTGCCATTGCGTCCGCCACGTTGTTTCCTTTGCGAGGAACATGATAGAATTGTAGGTTCCAATATCTTTTCATGTCAATGAGATGCGGTACCATGAGGGATATATGATCCATGATAGCTCCTTGCTTTAAGAGATTCCAGAATTCCTTGCAGTCTGTTTCAACTTAAAGCTGTTGTATATTCATACTTGAAGCCAACCTTAAACCTTCGTACACTCCCCACAATTCCGCATCTACTATCGCACAGTATCCAATCGCCTTCGCGTAACCATATATCCATTGTCTATTTTCATCCCGGATTACCCACTACAAACCGCCAGTCCATTTGAACGGTTTCGTGTACCGTCCACATTTAAGTTTGTGCCACCCCATTGATGGTGGCGACCACTTTATTATCTGCCGGTTAACGCTGATCTTTGTGTACCATTTACTTTATGCATTTGCATCGCATACAAAGCTTCTTGTTGATTGCGCAAGTATACATTCACGATAACTATGATTAGATGTCAAATTTTGCATAAACTGCGACTTTCTAGATTCAGTAAACTAAAACAATATATCTTTGCATTCTAAATAAATGATTTTCTTTGTCCTGTTTGCCAATTCATCGATGGCATTCAAGTTTTGAATTAACATTATGCAGTTAGTAGTAAGAAATGTATTTTTTAATAAAAAAAATAAATGCTTTTCTTTGTCCTTTTTTTTACAGTGAAGTTTGTAACATCATACAAAGAAGAGGACATTGGTGAAAAGGTCAAGGACATTCTTACGCATGTTTTTGAACCCATAGCCAGCTAAAGGTTTCTACAGATAAAGCAGCTTTACGGTATGTATCTCTCAACTGACATTAGAGACATTTGGCTGGTTGCTGATACCATTAATGACATTAAAAAAAAACTTTTATGTGAATAGTTTACTTGATAGTTGATACAGGACAGTAACAATATACAAAAGAAGGTAAATATTGGATGAACCAATAATTTATACCCTCCAATTGGGAAAACTTAAAAAAATGAACATATCTCAACACATTTTCGTACCCCTAAAATAACTGCATTTTCAATTAGATTACACCCTCTATTATCAAGTACTTGACTAGAATCTAGTTGAGAAACAGATAATTTCATGTTTCATATTCTAACCCTAAAATAAATGCAGACAACCCTATTATTTTCTCATATTTCCATGAGTAGAATAATAACTTTTTATTGATACTTAAGGATACATTTGGTTTACAGAATATAAAATTAATTTAAATAAATTTTTTTAATGTAATATTATTTCTAAAAATAGGATTCTAGTATATGAAACAAACATTAGATTTACATTTAAAAGATAAAAAATGAGTGAATTAAAAATTTTAAGATTCAATATTCGTTGACGATGGTTAGTGATGAAGATTCGTGGTCATTGATAACAGTGAGATGATGATGTGAGTGAAATTAACGATCATGTTCGAGGAAAATGAGACTAGAACTTAAATATCATCGAAATTTGAAAAAGGAATTATTGTTGATGCAAAGAAGGACAATGATTTTTAAATGTTCCGATGAAACAAGAGGCTTACACTGATAAAAGTAGAGAATCAAAAATCAATTTGAGTCATAGTATATGGTTCAATTTTAGTAAATTTAGGTTCTGGGGTACTTTTACTGTACATTTGTTCATGCAGAGTTGTCAGTTTGAATGATGTGTCTATTTCAACAGTAAATAGCATCACCAAAATTACAAGTTCTCAATCTGGTTTAAATTTCTGATCAATTACATCCACAAAGTCTCATTTGCTGTGAAAATGGATGTATTTTGAAAGTTATTTTCGTTTCAAGGTTTAATTTGTTTTTATTTTTTTTTGTCTGCTTAAGTGTTTAGTTCTAGTTTTTCTTTTTTCTTTATTTAAGAAAAGTTCCACGTTAAAAAACTTCTTCTAGGACCTACAAGGGGAAAAGAGTGCCCACAAAATATATTAACCATGATAAAAGCAATTGTGAAAGATGCATTTGTCTGCAAAATTGATCGAGCTTCAGCTAGATGAATACCCAAGGTAGACAAATCTGCCACATCACAAGACAGTTTATTAGCCACCATTGCCGAATTAGTCTAAAAAACAACTTGGTGACAATGGTTCTCTTGAGCAAACTTTAAATCGGCTGTCATAGCATGAATCTCTACAAGACCTGCTTCGGTGCAAATGGATGGCAGTAAAGCCATATAGCGCTAAGGTAAACCAGCGGAGTCCCAAGCTATAACACTAATGGTAGCCAAACTTCACTGAGGGTCAAAGTCCTCATCTACGTTAATTTTGACATAACCCGGATGGGCGAAGTCAATAAGTATCTAATTCTTGTAGCAAGCATGTTGGCATGGGGACGTGCGAGGCGTTCACCCAGAGCTTGCTTCCTGGCTGTTGAGATCTCCTGGTGCAATATTCGGGCATTAAGAACTAGGATCCAAGGTGGTTGAATTTTTTTGTCATAGATCTTCACAATACGATCATTCCAGATATTCCAAAGCAAAACCAAGAATCCGGCAAAACCTTCCATATCAAGTGCAGATATCACAAATTTCAACTAGCTTAAATGAGTAGTGGTTTGGCTAGATATGAACGTACCTTGAGAGCCAGCCAAGACAAACGATTCTTGAGCAGATGAACAATCTTGCAAGGCGTGAAACACTGTCTCCTCATGTAAGTGACACATTGGGCAGATGTCATTAACTATACTTCAGGCTAATCTTCATGAATATCTCCCTACAGGGAGGCCTCCATAGGCTAATCTTCAGCCAAAAACCAGAATTTTGGGGAGTACCTACAATTTCGCTATAGTTTTCCATCATTTGAGTGTGTCAGTCGTTTTAGCCACCAACACCTTGAATGTACATAATAGGTACCTGAATCATGATTACCCCACACAAAAACCTCATTTTGACTAGGAGCAATCAAAGTGGTTAGGATCGTATTTGCGTCAGTAGCATCTCGCTTGGACTATACTCATCCCATCTTGCTTGCCTTACCTGCTGGAACAAAGAAGCCTTGAAACATTGAATAGGAAGTACAAAATAGTCACCTAAAATTGGTATAACTTTTGATACCTGTCCCGGAGTAAGTTTAGATTGCTATCCATCCCTATCCGCCAATAGAAAGCACATTTAAGCACATGAAGAGTCTTATGAATACCTTTCCATGCATACAAGCTCCTATTGCCAATACGTGCATTAAGAAGGTCACCCTTAGTGAGGTATTTTGCTCGAACACTCTAGAAAATAAGCAACCATGATTTGTGATAAGGTGCCAAATCTATTTGCCAACCATAGCCATATTGAAAGACCAATGGACTCGTAATCCTAGTCCTCATTTTCTCTTCGGTTTACATATAGTCGACCAAGATATAAGAGACTAACCTTGCTCTGAAATTTTCCCCATCCACCAAAAACGACGTATGACGGAAGTCATCTCATCAAGAAGTTGTTCTAGAAAAAGATAATACGACATTGCATATTGTGGTAAGGCTTGAGCTACCGACTTTAGGAAGACTTCTCGCCCTCCATAGGACAAAAAGCGTTTAGTCCATCCTGTGACCCTCGCGACAACCTTGTCGTGTAAATAACCAAATGTACGAGTCTTATTCTTACCAATGTAAAGTGGCAATCCCAAATAGTGCCCTAGAGAATTAACTACGTATATGCTAAATACAATAGTCAATTGTTGACGGAGTTCAGTAATTGTGTTGGGACTAAAATAAACGATAGATTTTTCAAGGTTCACACATTGCCCTGATAACCGAGCATATACAGTTAGTAGTCGATTTATTTCAATGACCTCGGACAAAGAAGTTTTCAGGAAAATTAAGATATCGTCTGCAAATAATAACAAAGAAACTCGATGACCCGATTGACTCACACAAATACCCTTAATCTTGTTGCTCGTTGCGCTTTATGGAATAGAGTAGATACCCTGCATTACAAAGAGAAACAAAAACGACGACAGGGGGTCCTCCTAGCGAAGTCCTCGAGAGGGAGAGAATTCACTAGTAAGTGACCCATTGACCTTCGCAAAAAAAGTAACTGATGTTACATAACGCATAATCGTCTCCAAAAACACTCGATAAACCAAGTTTCAACATAATGGCTCTTAAGAATCCCTATTCAACTCAATCATAAGTCTTTTCAATATCTAACTTGAGTAATGCACCCTTATTAATTCCATTCCTAGAGGAGTTCATATATGTAATAACTCATGGGCAACTAAAATATTATCCGCAATCTGTTGGCCAGGTAGAAACGCGGTCTGATTATCACTTATACATAGTGACATAGATGGTTTTAGACGGTTAATTAGGACCTTAGACACAATCTTGTAGATAACATTACAAAGACTTATGGGTCTTATCTATCTCATGTGTTCCAGCTCATCGACTTTCGGGATCAAAACAAGGATTGTCTTGTTAACCGTAGCCATATCCAACTGTCCACAAAAAAGATGTAGGCATGGATCAATGATATCTTGGCCCACAACATCCCAATGTAAAAAAAAAAAAAAGCTTCTCTGTAAGCCATCGGGGCCGGGATTTTATTGGGATTAATATACCTAAATGCAATAATAACCTCATCAGCTGTAAAAGGTTTACATAATTCAGAATTCACATCTGGAGTTATTACCATATCAATGGCGTCAAGGATACTATATTCTTGAATAGGATTAGTATTAGTAAATAAGTCTTGAAAATAATCTACTACAATCTCTTTAAGATCGTCATATTTTGTCATCCAATATATTAATTTATCAAAGAGACCATGAATCTTGTTTTTCTTCCGTCATTGACTAGCTCGGGTGTGAAAGGATTTCGTATTCCAATCACCATAAGATAGCCAATTGACACACGATCGTTGTGCCCAATATTTCTCTTCCGAATTGAGCAGTCGTTGAAGTTCATGCTCCACAGCAAGGAAACGAGTCATATTATTCCCATTGAGACGACTAGTCCTTCGAAGACTACTAATACGAGCCTTAACATTTGAAAATCTATCTAGTTGTCACTCCCGAAGTGTATCACCAATTGTCGCTATTTTATTAATAACATTGTCGTGGGTATACGCCCATGCCGTGTGTACACAGTCCTTGCAAGCTTGCCCATTCGACCAACAAGAATCATAACGAAATGAGTCTCCACATGCATGCTTATTACCACCTTGATACTGCCATTTTGTTGTCATGATGAGGTAACAATGGTCTGAATTTTTTACGTATTCCGAGATCACATGAAATTGTGGGAACATGAACATCCAATCTTTGGATGCTACAAACTTATCCAACCTTTCAGCGATGGGAGGTTTGTTATGAGTGTTATTTACCCACGTAAACCATCCCTGGGAAGGTCGTAAATCCGATAAACCATTACATTGTAATGCATCTCGAAATCCATCAACGTGTACTCTTTACTTACGGGGACCCCCTTATTTTTTTGAATCATTTAAAACTCCATTAAAATCCCCGCCTAATGACTATGGCAAAGGAGAGTCCGTACTTACGCTATCAAGCAAATTCCATGTTTGTGTTTTTAAGAGATGCGTTTGATTGTCCATAAATGCCGGTAAAACGATAATGATTCGATCCATCTTGTATGCAAGCATCGATATGAAGTGGCGAATATGACAAACTAAATACTTTAATATTATTCATCCAAAGTAACATAAGTCCAGTGCAATTATTCCCATTGTCTACTGGAAAACAACCATACATACGTAGCAAACTCCTAATATAATCACTTTTATTTTGTCTCAACTTAGTCTCACTTAAAAAGATAACCGAAAATGAATGAGAGGCATAAAAACCTCTTAAGAGAATGAACCGTCGCTGTATTGGCAAGACCTTGACAGTTCCAACATAGTTGACTCATGGCG